GCAGACGACGTGTGTGCGTGGCAGGCGCTAAGGAATTACATAGGACAAGCCGAGGTGGAGGGGGCACTAGAGTGTGACCTGTCCCAGACCGGCGAGGGAAGGGGCCTTCCACGCTCGCCTGGGGAAGGGCCTGGGGAAGGGCAGGGGCCGGTTCTCGCACCAGCATGCCTCGGGCCTGGTGGCGGGGTGAGGGGGGGGGATCCATGAGCCTGTCTCAGAGGGGGTTTAAGGGACGCAATCTCTGTCCTGGCCCGGATCTAGCTCTGGGATCCAGGAGTAGCGGTCACATCATTGCACAGGCTCTCCCACCCACTGCTGGGTGCGGCAGCGAATCTGAGGCCGGGCACCAGGCCAAGGCAGCCCCGCCCCAGAGGCGGACCCAGCCCCAGAGGTTTCACAACAGCAGAGCAGGGCAGCAGCAGAGCAAGGACCCAGGAGGAAGGGCAGCATGGCAGAGCCTCAGGTACGGTGTCCTAGGGAGGCTGGGAGACAGCAGCGAGCAGCCGGGGACCTGGCTGGTGGGCTGGCTCCGGGCTCCGGGTTGCTGGCTGCCCAGCCAGGCGGGGCCTCACAGGCCACACACAGACTGGCCTTGTCCTTCCAGAGCTCCTCTGCCTGCCGTGGGAGGGAGGATGAGGAAGCAGGGAGGGACTTCCCTTTCCCCTAGAAGAGATCTAAGCCACAGGACAGGGGGAGGCTGAGGAGGGACCAGGGGATCCTCGAGGCCAGGCCACTCCCGGGCACCCTCGTTTTTCGTCCAAGCAGGGCTGCCATCCTTCCTCTCACTGGGGTTATACCGAGGAGAGACCCTGAAAAGCCCAGAATTTATTTATAAAAAATTGTGTATTTATTCTTACATGTTTACACTCCAGTCTCCATCTGATACAATACATGTATTGAGATGTTTTTCCCCACTGCTCAGTTTAGAACTCGTTGATTTGGATGCCTTTTGGTGCTCCTGCTGTGTTTTTTGTTTTTTGTTTTTTGTTTTTTTTTTTGTAACCTCTTCCACATCTGCAAAACGTTTCCCTGTGAGGATATTTTTTCATCTGAGGAAACAAGATAAAGTCACCCAGGGCGAGATCAGGTGAATGGGGAGAGTGGGGCACAGGGGTCATGCCATTTTTGGTCAAAAACTGAATACTCAGTGCGGTGTGGGCAGGGGCACTCATAAATCACCTATCATGAAATAAGCAAACGTGTTGAGTCTTCAAAAAAAAATTCCCTGAAGCTGAACGCAGCCTCTCACAACAACGCCATCTGGTGCACTGATCCAGGTGGGTTCCTAGGACACTCACCTAACGGGGGAAGCCCGTACTACAAGGCGCCCGCCCTGCAGAAGGTAATTCAGGGTTTTTTGGGTTCCCGCTTGTACAACCTAGAAGGGAGCCCAGGACCTCAGCTCTGGACCACGTGGCCCCGGGAAGGAGGGCCAGCACCCTATCCCTGAGGGGCAGAGGTCAAGCATCCATTTGGCAGCTCACAGTTCCTGGGCACAGCCACGTGCCCGGGGCTGAGACAGGGGTCTGCAGTGAGTGACCACTGGAGATCGTGTTCTTGGGAGTGGACACCACTAGGGTCCAGGAAGGAGGAACCAGCCGATGGCTGTGTCTCTCTGTTGGGGGGCTGATCATGAGGGGGCTTTGTGGGCATCGGGAGCCGAGGCACAGCCTCTCCTTGGGGTGGAGCTGGCGTTGGCCCCCAGCTGCCCGCAGTCCCCATGGGAGGGTCGGGGCCGCTGCCCAGAGATTCGGGGGACCTTATGGGCATCCAGGTTAGGGTTCTACGGGAGAGATCAGCTTGGGGACACAAGGGGATCGGACCTGCCAGGCAGGCCCGTGACCTCTGCTTCTGGCAGCTGAGGGGCATCCCCAGGCCCTCAGACCGCCACGTTTACCTCTGTCACCTTTCCCAGCCCTGCGTCCCTGTCCCCACCTGGGTTGATGTCCTTGCCTCCCTGGTGCTCCCCCTGGGCTTAAATCTCCGCAGGTCCCCACCCCAGGGCCTCCTCTCCGACCCTCCCCCGGCTGTCTCTCACCGGTGGGACACTGTCCCTCAGAGACGCCGGCACTGGGCACGCAGGGCTCGGCCTTGCCAGCAGCCCTGCAGCAGCACTCGGCAGTGCCGGGTACCGTCCCCACGTCACTGGTGGGGAAAGTGAGCTGCAGAGGGGCCACGCCACCTGCCCAGGTCTCCTAGCTAATAAATGGAGTTGCTAGGGTTCAAGCCTGGGTCCCCTCACACTGGGAGGGCCGTTGAAGCCAGGGCCACCTCAGCCTGCTGCGAGGTCCGCGCCTTGATGAGCCCCTGGCCTTCCAGCCCCGTGACCTCAGGGCTCGGCTCAGCCGGAAGAGGCAAGTAGGGCAAGCAGCTGGGGCCTGTCGGGAACGGTGAGGAGGCAGGGGCCAAGAGAGGGCGGCGCAGACAGCACACCTCCCCGCCTGGCTGGGCGCCCCGCTGCCCACCCGGCCCTGGGCCCTGCCCAGAGCTGCACCCTCTCCCCAGGATCCCTCTGCCCTGCTCCCCTCCCATTTCTGGTGGGGGCTTGGGGCGTGGGGGTGGACAGCCCTCTGTTGCCATGGATCCTTCTGGATCCTGGTTTTTCAGGCTGGAGAAGTCTGGTGGCCTCAGGCATGTCTCCTCCAGTAGGGGCGGCAGTGGCGCCTTCTCCAGGCCGCCCTTGGAAGAGAAGTAGGTCCCACAGGCACAGGCAGTGGAGTGGACTTTCTTATGCACTTGGGCAGCTCCGACGTGCCCAGGATGGGGAGGGGCAAACTCGGGTGCCCCAGCCCGGTCTGATGCAGGAACCCCCTCGTTTGTGAGGCCTTTGTGAGGTCACCGGCCCCGGGTCCCGCCAGATCCCTGATGGGAGGTGGCCTTGGCTCCTCTGCTTGCCTGGGTTGTGCCCAGCTCCCCTGTCCCCAGAGGGCAGCCCAAGGGGCCTTCTGCCCAGAGTGACCAACCAGCAGGGGGCAATGTTGGGTGAGTTGGCCTCCATGTTGCCAGGAGAGACTATCCCCTCAGCCCCCCACTATAGAATCCTTACCACCACCCCCCCCGCCACGCCTTGCTCAGAGGCCTCCCATGCCTTACATTTTTGTGGGTTTGACACTCTCATGAAAGTGCAAACAACCCCCGGGAGGCAGGAGACGGGGCGGTGACGGTGGGGGGGGGGTGCCGGGCCCTCAGCACCTCAGCACCTGGGCCAGAGAGCTGGGCCAGGAGGGCCGGGAGGGGGATGGGGGGACGCCGTGGAGTGCTGAGTGACATAAACACAGCAGACGTTTCCTAGACACTTACGTGCACAAACGCAGATGCTTTGTGTGGCATCACGCCCTTAACTCCTCAGGTCGACAGCAAGTGTTCTGTACCCCCAGTCGCAGACAAGGAAACTGACGCAGCAAGAAGGTAAGCGACTTGCCCCGAGGCCAGGCCATTGAGAGGCAGAGCTGGGGTCAAGCCCAACGGGTGGTGCGGTTCTTTCTGCTGGGTCTCGGCTGGAGCTCCTGCCCCCAGTAAAGGGGTGGAGCCTGAGGCCGAGAGGGGCTCGGCCAATGTCCCCCTTCTGCTGCACTGCTGCCCTCTCTAGGGATCGTGGTGCCTGTGGCAACTGCCCCGTCTCTCCCAACCAGAGCAGGAGGCCCGTGGGGTCAGCGTGGCCCCCAGTCACACCAGGGGACGGCCTAGGGCTCCAGCCAGGCGCTCAGCACAGAGGACTGGCTGGGCCAGGCCATCTGCTCGCTGTAGCAGACTCAGCTATCAGGGCCATGGAGCCTTCCAGAAGACCGAGGGCCCTGGCAGCAGTAGCCGCTTAACAAAAGCTGGCAGCTGTGGGGCCACTGAGGCCTGGCCCCGGGCTCAGAGCTGGACTCATCCTGGATGAACACCGAGTCCCCCTAACGGACGAGGAAGCTGGGGCACTTGGAACCAGATGACGAGTCAAGTAGACTGCAAGGGCCCGCCTCCCAGGCCAGTGGGAAGAGAGAGTGGGGGTGCAGGGGAGGACGCAGGGAGGTGGGCAGGGTAAAACCTGGAATTCATTGCACGATGACCCAGCGTGGTGGCGCGCAGAGCTCAGGGGCCACTGTGAGAGTGTGTGAGGGAGTAACCAGGGTGAGCTGCCTGCAAGAGGCATCAGGCAAGCCGAGACCCTAGAGGCGGGAAGTCAGAAAGGGCAAGGAGAAGGGGTCCCCACGGGTCCTTGGGCCCAGACCAAGGAGTGGACGTGTTGGAGCACGCCTCTGTTGGGTTTCGAGTAAACGGGCGGGGGCCTAGGGGAATGTGTGGCTCCTGCCGCACCTGCCCGCCCTGGCTGATGATGGCGAGGGGGCGGGACTGCTCCTTCACCCCTGTCCCCACGTTCCCTGTCCCCCTCCCAGGCTGGGGTGGGCAGCAGGGTGCCTGGGAGGTGGGAGGTCTTTTCCTGTCTTGTGGGGGGGGCCTGGGGAGCAGGGAGAGGCAGCCACTGCCCTCTGGGCCACCGCCAGCCCTGCTCTGGGCTGGCCTCTCTGGGCAGTGCTGCCAGGCTGGGGAAGCAGGGACAGATTTGGTGTCTGGGATGTCCCAAGTGGTGGCTGTGGTGGTGGTTGGTGGACTGTCCCTCTCCTTCTCAAACTCCCCCTGGTTTTTCCAGGCCTGGTGGGGCACGGGCAGCCTGCGTCTGGGAGGGGCACTGGCCAGGGGTGGGGCTGTGGCCCGGGGCTAATTTCTGTTTGGCTCCTGGCTGCCTGCCCACCCTTAGGAGCTCTGGGGTAGCTGTCCCCAGACCCACACAACGCTCGGGGTCCAGGGCTCTCCTGCCCACTGGCCAAGGGGACTTGTCTGTGGGTCTGTGGGTGCGTGCCGTGTGTGAGTGTAAACGGGGCCAGGCCTGGCCCTCTGGGGCGACACTTGACTCCCAGCAAGGGTGTCTGTGAGCCCACAGGGGTGCAGGCAGGGGTGGAGCGGGTGCCAGAGAAGGTGGGGAGCCCTGGCTCATGCTCCCCCCCTCCCATCTGCAGGATGGACCCGTTCGAGGACATGCTGCGGCGGCTACGGGAGGCCTTCGGCTCGGGGCGGACACAGGAGGCGGAGTTCCGGGCCACCCAGCTCAAGGGCTTGGGCCGCTTCCTGGAGGAGAACAAGCAGCTTCTGCAGGAGGCGCTGGTGCAGGACCTGCGCAAGGTGAGGTGGCGGGAGGTGCAGGAGGTGCGGGAGGTGGGGAGGCTGGGACAGGAACACGGGGACAGGGGCACCTTCCAGGAAGTGGAACTAAAAGCCCATCCCACCCCCACTTCCCTGTGCTGTAACCTGCTCTCCTGCATTCATCCCTTTGTGCATTTCTTCATCCGTGCAACTATTTACTGAGCACCTACTATGTGCCAGGTACTGTTCTGGGATTTAAGGAAGCAACAGAGAAATGAAACAAAGTGCCCAGCCAGCTGGCCTTCTGACAACACATGACAATAAATGATCACGTAGTAGGTTGACAGTAGTAACTGCAGCGGAGCGAAGGGGGCACGAGAGGGCCAGGGTCAGGGCGCCGCTTCACACTGGGCGTCAGGGGAGGCTTTTCTGAGCAGAGATGGGAAGGAGGAGGAGACGGAGCCACGTGGCTCCCCGGGCAGAAGCCCTGAGGCCGGAGGAGCTTGGTGTGCAGGCGTGAGGAGCGGCGAGGGGCTGGAGTGGGAGGGGCAAAGCGACACCGAAGACGAGTCCAGGCAGGGGGGCCACACCGAGGGAGGCTTCCACGGCCCTTGGTGCAGTGGGCGCCACGGCCTCTGTCTTATCCCTGAAGGCCTGGGGGCTCAGCACCCCCAGCCCCGCGGCAGCCATGGCCGGACGCCAAGAAGCAGACTTGCTCGTAGGCACCCCCACCTCCTCAGCAGGCAGGGCCCACCTGCTTAGCTGTCCTTGGACAGCTGTCCAGGGGTTCTCTGGAAAAATGTCTCCCGGGCATGTTACAAAGGCCACCGTCTCCAGACCCGGCCCCTCACCACCCGGAACCGCCAGGGCCAGGCCAGTGGTTCTTTGTCAACTGGCAAGGTGCCAGCTAATTTGGTCCTTAACACCTGGTACAGGCCCACAGTGCATGCTGCCTGCTGGCCAGCCCCTATAGTCACCTCCTGTCCCCAGGGGACAGCAGCTGTCCCATGTTGGCTTATGCTGAGCTTGTCTTAGTCCTAAACGTTGAGTATGTCCCCAGAAGGGCCTGGGGCCTCCAGGGCCCCCACACAAGATGCTACATGGACCTCCGGGCCCACCCTTGCTGCTTGTGTTCAGACCCTCGAGGGCCAGCCGGCCCACATGCTGCCCCCCACCCCTTTCCAGTCAGCCAGCCGGCTCCACTGAGGTCGTGACAGACACGTGAGCACTGGCAGGGCCAGGGTCCCTCAGCAGCCTCCTTGGGACACACCCTACCCACGGCACCCAGCCACGTGCCTGCCCTGGCCCCGGGGCAGTCACGGACTTGGAGGCCGCTGCCTGGTAGCGGCTGGGACCCCGAGCGAGGTGCGCCCCGCTCCACAGGGACAGCAACGGCTGGCCCCTGCAAAGACTTGTCCTGAGGATATGGCCTCCTGGTAACACCTGCTGCCTCCCTCAGTGTCCCCAAACCTTCTCTTTACCACTGCCATAGCCAGGTGACATGAGGGCCCCTCATCGGCTTTTTCTGGAATTATCTGCTGTCCCATTTATGAAACCAGGGTTCTTGAGCGTAGTCTCCATGGTTCCCCGCACCCAAGAGGCTGGCTCTGCCTCCCTGTGGGGTGTTCCGTTCACTGGGCCTGGTTGGGGGACCGGCACCCCCGCTGCGCCTCTGCCACCATCCACCCGCTGGCCCCGCGGCCCTTCCACAGGAGACCTGAGCCAGCCGTCCCTCCGGCCTCTCCTCCTGCGGGCCGCTCCTCCTGCCGGCTCACGTTGCATTCCCGCCTCCCCTCCCAGCTCCTCAGGCTCCAGGGGCCACCCGCAAAGGGAGCAGCAGCCCAGAAAAGCCACCTGGGTCCCTCCCTCTGGCTTGAGAGCTCTCTGTCCCCAGCCCTCCTGGTATGTGGCACTTGGCCCGCCCTGTTCTGCATTAACCCTCTCACTGAACTCCCATAGGACTTCCAGGTAGGGCGGCCACACTAGAGTGGGCTCAGGGAGGGCACTCGGCCCTGACTCAGGGCGGCCGACTCTTCCCAAATCACAGAGTTCAGCAGGGCCCAGGCTGTCCCTTAAACCAGCCTGAACCTCCCAGGTGACGTGCGGGGCGCAGCAGTCAGGCCCGGCAGCTCAAGGGCTGCGCTCGAAGGCATGGGGAAAGCACACAGGCTCCCAGAAAGTGCGCTTAAACCAGGCACGGCCCCAGTCTCGCTGGCGGGGTGGTTCCCTCCCCGAAGCCCCTCCCCTGCACAGTCCCAGCGCCCTTCCCCTTGGGGCTCAGCGCTGGGCCCCGGCCTTGCCACCGGCTTGCTGAGCGACCCCGAGCAGAGCACCCCCATCTCTGGTCTTCGGTTCACCCTCAAAACCATCCTGGCACCCTCGGACCATTGGTGTGCCCTCTAGCAGGGCAGAGCTTGCGCGGTGACGGCCCAGTCTCAGGCATCAGGACAGCCTGGCTCTGGTGTCCCTGACCACAGGCCTTATGCTGCCTGCAGCCCGTGGGCTGGGTCCCTCCGCCCTGGTGGCGGTGGGATGGGCACCTGGAGGCAGGGACCAGGACAGCGTCTGCACGGATGGGTGGCTCCTCCCTCCTGCGCTGGAAGTCTGACTGCGAGGCCTGGCCCCCGGGCTGTGGGAATTGGATGCCTGTCCGCAGTGCCACCTGCAGACTGATGTCCACAGAGCGGGCCACAGTGGGACACACAGACAATCCTGTCAAAACCTAAGGCAGCCCCTGCCCCTACTCTGCCTGGCATCCTCAGCCTGGCCGCGGGGCCCCACCACCGCGCCCCACCACCGTACCCCCTCCGCTCCTGGCTAGTCAGGAACACGGGCTCCGGCGCCCCCTCAGGGCCTTTGTGCGGGCCCTGCCCTCTGCCTAGGGCGCTCTGCTTCCTGGGGTCCACGGCTCCCTCCCTTCCTTCACTGCTCAGTGGTAGCCTCGTCCCAGGGACCGGCAATGACCCTCTTGCATAAAATGGAGCAAACACATACATACACGCACACCTTCACACTCACTAGCACACATCACTCACTCGTGTACTGCACGCACACACGTGCTTGCTCACACTCGTGCGCACACAGACACGCGCTCCAGCAGTCTCTACCCCCCTTACCCTCCTTCTCCTTCCATTGCACTGTCACGTCGTAATGTAGTAGCCGGTGTTCCCGTGGTCATGTTGACTGTTCCCCAGCAACAGCAGCTCCACGGGACGGGCTTTCTGTCTGTTTCGGCCACTGCTACAGCCTTGGCTCAAGAACCGCACCTGCGCTCTGAAAGCGCTCCTTGAACGTGGAGAGATTGGATGAATGAGAAAATAAGAGCAGGCCTTGCCTGGAGGAGGCTGTGCCCTGCCCAGGCCTCTGGCCCCCTGCTGACCCTGGTCCTGGGGCCAAGCCCTGTCCCTGCCCCTCCCCTGCAGATGGTCTTCGAGTCGGAGGTGTCTGAGTTCAGCATCTGCCAGGGCGAGATTAACTTGGCCCTCAAGAACCTGCAGGCCTGGATGAAGGACGAGGAAGTAACCAAGAACCTGGTGAGCAGACCTAGCGGGGGCAGGCAGGTGGGCTTCAGGGTGGGGGGCTCCCCACTGGGCATCCCCTGGGGTGGATGGGGGTGCTGAGGGGCTGGGGGTCTCAGCCCCTCCCCACTCACGCCCACTGGTCCCCACTTCCTGTGCAGGCCACGCAGCTGGACTCCGCCTTCATCCGCAAGGAGCCCTTCGGCCTGGTGCTCATCATCACGCCCTGGAACTACCCGGTGAACCTGACCCTGGTGCCCCTGGTGGGCGCCCTCGCCGCGGGTGAGGGCCAAGCCTCTGCCACCCACCCGGCCCTCCCTCGGGCCCTGGAGCCCGCAGAGCCAGGGAGGAGCGGGCCACTGGCCCCAGGGGGCCGGGAAAGTCTGGCTCGCATCTGGCTCACCATCCCCAGGTTGTGTGGCCTTGGGAGACCTCATGTCACCTCTCCGAGCCAGACTCTTCACCTGAAGGTGGAGTGAGGCTCCCACCTGTCCTGCAGGTGTGAGAAGCGAGTGGAGCCCGGAGCGGCTACCCCGCTCCCAGCTCTTGCCCTGCTAACAGCTCCCGCCCTGCCCTGCCCACCCTGCAGGGAACTGCGTGGTGTTGAAGCCCTCTGAGATCAGCGGGAACACTGGGAAGGTCCTGGCCGAGGTGCTGCCCCGGTACCTGGACCAGGTGAGCAGAGGCAGGAGGGCCCCTGGGGACCGGGTGGGACCTGAGTTCTAACCCCACTCCTGCCTCCTGTGGGTGGCGTGGCCGTGGCCAAGTCTCCGCCCCGCTCAGCCTCCGTTTCCCTCCTAGTGAAAGAGATGGTGGCCACCACAGCCGTGCTCTGCGGAGCCTGTCTCCTGGGGGCCGCTGTCTTCTGGTGGGGCTGCCCCAGCCACGGCCTCTGCCCTCCCACCAACCCTGCTAGAACTTCATCTCCTCCCCGCTTCGCCACCCCCCGCCCCCCAGACCACCTAGAGCCCTGGCAGCCCTGCATCAGGCCAGACCAGGCCAGGGGGGCGCAGCCCCCGGGGGGCAGGCCTCCCTCAGGGCTCTCTGGGCCGAGGTCCCTGGCAGAGCTCTCCACCTGTCCCTCTGTGCAGAGCTGCTTTGCTGTGGTGACAGGCGGGCCCAAGGAGGTGCAGCAGCTGCTGGAACACAAGTTTGACTACATCTTCTTCACAGGCGAGGCACCTGCTGCTGGGGAGGAGGGCCAGGGGGTTGGAAGTCCTCACAGATGAGGAGATGCCTGCAAAAGACCAGAGGAGCTGGGGGAGGAGCTAGACTGCGAGGAGGGAGCCGGAGGCACCAAGAGCAGAGAGGCAACTGAGTTGTACCCTCCTGGGAGCCGGGAGGAAGGCCAGGGTCACCCGCACAGACCTGGGCCAGGAGTGGGCAGGGGTCGCGAGGCCCTGCTGTGGGGCTGCGTAGAGGAGTGAAGTGAACTGAGACCCAGAAGATCAACCCAGAGGAACGATGGGGACGAGCCAGGGGCCATGAGAGGCCGGCGAAGGTGGCAGGGCTGCCCAGTGAGGTCAGAGAGGGGAGAGACCCGAATGTCCAAGGTTGCAGCTGGACTCCAGCCTCGGCCTTGGGCGACGGGTCACTGGAGGTTCTAGAGGAGCGCAGAGAGGTGGCGAGGGCGCTAGGCAGCGTGAGTCACCTGCAGGGGTGGGCTGTGGATCAGAAGCAGGACGAGGGTGGAGGGGGACATGCGGAAGGCCCTGCTGGCGCAGCGGCAGGCGAGGGAAGGCCAGGTGGGGCCCGGCGCCCTCCTGACTCAGCCACCTATCCCGGAGGCGCAGAACAGGTGAACCCCACTTGAGGGGTCCCAGTCCGCCAGGCCGAGATGCCCGCACCTGGTCCAGGTGAATGAAGGTCACTCTGGGTTTTTCCCATGTGCAGGGAGCTCTCGAGTTGGCAAGATTATCATGGCCGCAGCCACCAAGCACCTGACGCCCGTCACGCTGGAGCTGGGGGGCAAGAACCCCTGCTACGTGCACGACGACTGCGACCCCCAGACCGTGGCCAACCGTGTGGCCTTCTTCCGCTACTTAAACACCGGCCAGACCTGCGTGGCCCCCGACTACGTCCTGTGCAGCCCCGAGATGCAGGAGCGGCTGGTGCCCGCCCTGCAGAGCGCCATCACCCGGTTCTACGGCGACGACCCCAAGAGCTCCCCCGACCTGGGCCGCATCATCAACGACAAGCATTTCCAGCGGCTCCAGGGCCTGCTGGGCAGCGGCCGTGTGGCCATCGGGGGCCAGAGCGACAGCAGCGACCGCTACATCGGTGAGTCCCGCGCTCCTGGCCTCGGGACCCCCTGGCTAAGGCCCCTCCACGCTGGAGGTCACAGATGGGCTGAAGCTGGGCCCTGGGACTGCCACGGCCCCACCGCCGGAGCCCGGCCGGGTCCCCGGCTCTGGTGCCACGATTCCGCGGCACTAACGCCACATGTCGCCGTGGTCTGAGCCTGTGGGCCCGTGACTCCCAGGCCTGGCTTCTCTGAGCCGGGCCCCCCGCGTCCCAGGGCGCCCGAGCGCTCAGATCCCCGACGTCCCCGCACCGTCCGCTGCTCCACGGCCGCGACCCAGGTCCTGTGAGCTCGTGGTTCCCGTTCCCAGCACCTGCTGGGCTGTCGCTGCAGAGCGAACGCCGGCCTCTGGGCCACACGGCCCAGCGGTGGCACTGGTGCTCCAGCAGGCTGGGACCTGGCACCTTGGGGTTCAGGGTCTGAGAGCCAGTCACCCCGCAACTGTAAGACCAAGGCCGGGGCTCCTCTGGGCCCTGGTCGCGGTCACCCCTCGGGGGCGGTGGGGAGGCTCTCTTCCCTAGATGCTCCCGACCTGGAGCCCCGGGTCCCCAGGTGCCGGGCCCTGCCCGAGGCCCCGCACCTGGGGCTGAGCCGCGCCCTGTGCCCGCCCGACAGCCCCCACGGTGCTGGTGGACGTGCAGGAGACGGAGCCGGTGATGCAGGAGGAGATCTTCGGGCCCATCCTGCCCATCGTGACTGTGAGGAGCCTGGACGAGGCCATCGACTTCATCAACCGCCGGGAGAAGCCCCTGGCCCTGTACGCCTTCTCCAACAGCCAGCAGGTGGGGGCTCGGCCGCCGGGCAGGAGCAGGGTCAGGAGGGAGCAGGGGACCTGACCCCTCCGGGCTGTCCGAGGAGTTCCTGGATGGCGGCGATGGCTCTGCCTCTGTCCACTTTCCCGGGAGCAGCTGCCTGCCGCCCCTGCCCTCCTGGGCCCCCCGCGCGCAGCCCCCAGGACCTTCTCCAGAGCCCAGCGCCCCCCGGTCCGCCTGGCCTCCATCTCCACCTTCTGGCTGCAGCATCCCCTTTCAGTGTCCGGCTCACAGAGGGCACACACGTGGGGTGCAATGGGGAGGGTGGACGACAAGAACACACAGCCAAGCATGAGCGCTGGTCCCACCCCGCAACCCTGGCCCCCCCCCCCCCAGCCCCCTGCTCAGCCTGGAGCCTCAAGGGCAGGTGTCCCCAGTTCAGGACACACCGCCCCGTTTCACGCAGCTCTCATGAGATCCCTCGCAGACTAGACAGTACTTTTTTAGATACACTTTTTATTGGGGGATAACGAGATTTACAGAAAAGCTACAGAGGCGGCCCAGGGACTGTCGCCTCCAGGCCCAGTCCCCGAGGTTAAGGGTCTTCACACTGATCTGAACTTAAGAGGCTGACACTGTCGCGTCACTGCCGACTATACTTTAGACTTGACTCCGATTTCGCCAGTTCTTTCTGTCCCGGGTCCCAAGCTGCATTTAGCTGTCACGGGTCCCCTGGCCTGGGGCTGCCTCTCATCTCTCGGGGGAGCTGCTGTGTCTGAGGCCTGCCCACCCTGCTTCCCATCCCTTCCTTTCCTTCCGGGCCCACAAGGCGCCTCCCCCTCAAGTTCTCCAGGCCCAGCCCTACCACCGGCGGTCCCCCAGGGCGCCGGCTTATCTGGGTTTCGTCTGCTTCAGGCAGCGCAGCACAGGGCTTCTGGAACAGGGGTCACCTGGCATAGTGGCTTTTCTGACTGCCCAGCTCTGATCCCAGGACAGAGTGGCACCTGAGATGCGTCTCAGCCCAGGTGACTCGCCTTTAGACCTTTCGGAGCCATGGCGCGTCCAGCCCCAGCTCCGGTGGCTGGGACTGCTGGCCGCAGCCGGCGGCTGAGCCCCCGATGCGGCTGCACTCCCAGCGCCGCCAGCTGAGGGCTACACGTTATAACTAAATATAATGACAGCTTAATGTCAACTTGGCCTCTTCCCTCCCATTCTTCAAATAAACCTATGGAGAGAAGAGAAAATGCTCACAAAGTCAAGCAAAGGCCATGCTCATGTTTCTAAAATACCAGTGTGACCACATGACCACATCAGACTGTCCTGTGCTGCACAGCACACAGCCCCGCCCCGCCCCCGCCTCCCGGTCCCTGGCCTCCCCACCCTCAGGCCCTCGGCCTGGGTGCCCCATCCCGCCTCTGCCCGAAGGACTCCTGCCCTCCCCAAGACTCAGCAGGCATATCCATCCCTCTCCCAGGACACCTCCCCCTGCACTCTGCCTGTCCCCAGGCGAACGCTGCATTTCAACTTCCCCTTCTGGCCTGAGTCTGTCTCTGCACCCTGCACACGAGAGCAGATGCTCTGGAGCAGTGTCTGGCTTGGGAGTTCGGCCTGCCCCTCCCTCCACCTGCCCCGCTGCCCTCCTCAGCTCACATGGGGGGGCTCGGACCCTTCCCGGGGCCCCGAGGGCGCTGGGCAGAGCCCCTGGGACCCAGGGGACAGCAGTATGGCTTCCTGCTGCCCAGCCGCTCAGCCCCTTGCTGCTCCTTCCCAGGTGGTCAAGGAGGTGCTGTTCCGGACCAGCAGCGGGGCCTTCTGTGGGAACGACGGCTTCATGTACATGACCCTCTCCAGCCTGCCCTTCGGAGGAGTGGGTAGGTGGCAGCAGAGCCCGCGTCCTTACCTTCCGTGACCGATGGCACCGCAGCCTCTCCATCCCGCTCCCCATCGCAGTCTAGACAGTACCTTCCAAACCTGCCTCTGCGCTGTCATGTGTAGGCAGGGGTCTGTTTGGGAGCAAATCAGACCGTACTCCTCCCAGTGAACCCGCCCAGGGTCCTCAGGCCCTCATGACCCAGCCAGGCCCCCAACTCCCAGAAGCCGGCCCTTCCTGGTCTGGCCTCCTCTCTCAGCCCCTCATCCACGCTGAACTCTGCCAAGGCCTAGCAAACCGCAGGTCAACCACCTCCAAGGCTCTCCGAGTGCTGCCTACGTCTGGGTCTCTCTTGCTCACGTGCCCTCTTGGCCTGGTCAAACCCACATGCCTCAGGGCTTACTCCTGGAAGCCCTCCATGGTCACCCCGCCTCCGCCAGGGCGGGTCCCCAGACTGCTCAGTGCAGAAGCTGCCTCATCCTTAGCCTCCTCCCTACTTAGACACTGAGGACTCGCAACAACACAGCACTAACCGTGTGCACAGGTCTGGGCGCTCGCGCAGCCTCCCACAACTCTGAGGGCCACTGGCACCCCATGTCACAGAGGAGGGGGCCGAGGCAAAGTCACCTGCCCAAGGTGGCAGAGCTAGTTCACAGCTGAGATGCAACCCCACGCAGTCCCTCCAAAGTCCACATTCTTGACCACCATCTGCCTGTCTTGCCTCAATGACTCGCATGGTGACGGGTGTCCCCAGTGTTTGAGCTGGTGCCAGGCTCAGGGCTAGGTCCTTTGCCCAGTCTCTCAGGAAGAGCCCGCCCACTTTACAGATGGGGATACCGAGGCTCGAAGGGATGCAGTAGCCCATCCAGGTCACACTGCATGATTGGCAGGACCCACATCTGTCTGATGCCACCTCAGCTGGCCACTGAGGGCCTGACTGCTGTGTTCCCTGCCACTATACAGGTGCCAGCGGCATGGGCAAATACCATGGCAAGTTCACCTTCGACACCTTCTCCCACCACCGCGCCTGCCTGCTGCGCTACTCCGGGATGGAGAAGGTTAACTCCATCCGCTACCCGCCCTACTCGCCTCAGAAGCTGAGGGTGCTGCTGATGGCCATGGAGACCCACAGCTCCAGCTGCACCCTGCTCTGAGCCCACCCCAGGCACTGGGGCACCAAGGGTCCCTCCTGGCTCATGTCCAAGTCCTACGCTGTCCCCTGTGGCTGGAGGAGACACAACCTAGGGTCCAGGGCATAAGAAGGAAGGACCTGCCAAGGCCACAGCCCATCCCAGAGCATTTCCTTCTGCCTCTCCTGGCCCTCAGCTGCCCCCTAAGCAGGACGGGCTACAGTGAGGGAGTGTGCGAGACCTCCACCAGCCACCTGCGTCCTGGGCAAACGTAAGCGCCTCTGCCTGTGGAAAGTGCGGCAGAAGGGGCAACGACATCTGGTCCGGGCCATATCGTGGACCTGCTGTGGCCCAGGCTGCCTCTGTCCTGAGCTGCTCCCCACCTGTGCAATGGAAGCAACTAACAAATGGCATCTCTGAAATGGTTGTGAGATCAAATTTAGGAGCTTAATAAACATGCATTGCTGTCCCCGAGCTCCAGGCATCCTGTCCCCTCACTGGAGTGGGGAGAGGCCACTCTCCCCCTCTCTCCCCACCAGGCGGAGACGCCGGCAGCAGGATCTCCCTTCCCTTCAGCTCAGGCTTCTTGGGAGCTCCAAATACACTCCTGCCCTCCACGTGGCCAGCCCTGGGTGCTTGACCCACACCATATCCCACACTGGACCCATCCTACCCCGTCCTGCTCCTCCTCCTGGGCCCTGACACCATGGAACAGCCCCCCATACACTAGGCCACAAAGCCCCACTCACAAGTCTCCTGCTCAATGCCACCTTTTACCTCCCAAGTGCCACCTTTTGGTAAGTCCTGATGACTCTATGACACCACACAGGGTCCCTGATCCACACATTAATCACTGCGCCCAGGGTCATCCATAACTCACCCACTCCCCCGGGCTTGGCCCTTCTCCTTGACGTTGATCTTCCCAAAGCTGCCTGGACTGGGCAGCCCTTGGCCTGAAACCCTGCAGGAGCTCCCTACAGTCCACAAATCAGGACCGCTAACAGTCCTCGGGAAGCTCTGTCACGGCCCTGTGCCCGCATACTTGGCGTGTCTTTGCCCTTTTGTAATGCATGTGATATGTCCTTTTCGGGAGGACCTCTGCACACAGAGGACCTCTGCCCTTCTTGTCCCGCTCAACTCCTACCCGCCTTCTACTTCAACATGACCTCCTTCAAAGCCTTCCCTGACCACTCCCACCCCGCCCCCGCCCCCCTCACCACACGCAGGAAGCCCCAGGGGACTTCTCAGTGTCTGTAGCCTCCTCTGCCACACAGCTCTCTGACAGGATCACAGATTTGGTGGCCGCTAAAGGCCGGAGCTCCCAAATCATAAAGATCCAGGTGCGGCTCAAGAAGCTGGACTTCGCAGCTCTATCGCTTGCTTAGGCAAAGTTAACTAAACAAGTCCGTGTCTCAGTTCACCCCACCGGTAAAGCGAGAATAATCGTTCCTCCACCCAGGGCCGCTGTAAGGATTAAATAAAGCGACCTGCGTGAAGGGTTAGCGTAAAGCAGGCAAGCCTCCGGTTCTGCATAACTAACTACTAGGCGCGACTCTGCACGCCACTCACACACACGCGCGCAGAGGCCGACCCGGAGCCGCTTCCTAAACCACGCCCCAGATGCCCCGCCTCCAGCCTCAGAGCCCTCGTTAATTGGCCTCTCCAATCCATCATGGTGGCGCTCTACACAACTTCAAGCGCCTGCTCTTCCGTAACCAATCGGAGGAAAGATGTTTCTGTATCCCCCTTATTTGGTTGTGGCACTAGCCAATCAGCTTACACCATGGAGAGTCAACGCAGACAAAGCGAAGCCGGCCGGCCCAATGGCAGTGTCCCAAGGGGTAGGCTCCGCCTCTCGGCGGACAGGCCACTCGGCTCGGGGAAGAAGGAGCAGCCTTTCAAGGTGGGTGTTCCGGGTCCGGCTGCGGAGGCCCGGCCTGGACAGAGCGGCTTCGGGGGCGACTGTGGTGTCCCTGTTGGTCCTGCTGGCCCTGCGCTCGCGCTTCATCCCGACCCGCTCAGGACCCGCCCTCCCCGTGTCCTTGGGCGTGCGGCAGACGGACGGGGACGCTGGCATCCTCAGGGCGCCTGCGCCACCTGCGTCCTTGAGGTCAGAGGTCATAGGGAAGGTCGAGAGAGGAATTGGTTTGGGCTCCTGGCGCTGAAGTCAGTGGTCAAGAGAAATGGACACATTAGAGGTCATGGGAGGGACACTCGAGCTCCGGCTACATGCCCGGCACCGGGCCAAACCCTTGGCATGTGGGAACTCCTTTGTTCTCATGACCCCTCATTTCTCATATGAGAAAACAGACAAGGTGACCTTACCTGCCCAAGGTAACTAGGCAGCCTGAGAGACAGTTCCAGAAGGGCCTTGATGCTGGGGAAGGGAATTTGATCTTGAGGGTTATTTAAGTCTCCAGAGGGTTTCCAGCAGACAGGGCCTGGGTTCAGGTCCTGGTCCCAGCCTCCTGGTGTGTGACTTCGCCCAACTCCCTTAATACAGCCAAACTGCAGCTTCTCGTCTGTGCCTCTCTCATGGGGTCCTCGTTGGGACAGAAGGACCGTGCCCGTGGCTCCTAGCACGGTGCCTTGTGCAGTGAGCTTGCAGTCAGTACTGGTGGCCACTGGCAGTGTGTGTGGGTCCGACTTGGGAGGACGAACAGGAAGGAGAGACGAGAGGCAGGAGCACTGGTGGGGGACGGGGGAGGGAGGGATTTTAAAGACTTCTTAAAAGGTGAGATAGCTAGAACTTGGGATCTATCTCAAGCTGAGCTGAGTCAGGTTGGAGGGCTGGGAGGTGCCACCCCTGGGGACAAGAAGGCCATCTGTGCCTCTGACAGGAATGGAGTTAAGTAGGGGACAAGATGACACAGTGGTCCTGAAGTTAAGGGTCAGGGCTCCTTCAGAGCCGGAGCTCCTAGGGGCCCGGGTCAGGGACCCGCCACACCTCCCTCCCTTTTCATGCCCACAGATGCGCTGCCTGCCCACACCTGCGCTGCTTCGGGCCCTGGCCCAGGCTGTACGTGCAGGTAGGACCACGGGAACCTCTCCTGGGTGCAGGGGGCCCGGCGTCCCGGCCTGAGGCTACAGCTGCACAGCATAACCCCTTTCCTTGCAGGGCATCCCGGTGCCCGGAGCCTCCACAGCAGTGCAGTGGCGGCCACCTACAGTGAGTCCCTGGGCGCCTGAGGCCTCAGGCTTTCCTGACCACAGCCCTGCCTGTGGCTGGGGGTGATGATCAAGATCGAATATCATTCACGGGGGACAGAGTCTGCGGTTGCAGGGGGCGGGGGGCCTCCCCTGTGGCCACACAGCGTGCTCTCAGCTCCCCCGTGTGGGGCAGGAGCCCTGGGTGCCCACGCCCCTTCTCCAGGGCCCCAGCACCCAAGCCCCTTCCCATGCGCCACAGCTCCTGGGCTCAGGCGGCCGTACAGGCACAGGGAGCAGTGAGCAAGGACTGCCCAGGGCCAGAGGCCCAGTTGGGGAAGATTTGGTGGATGAACAAGCAAGCCCCTAGGTTGGGCCCAGCCGTTGTACCTGCCAGAAGGGCGGGGCCTCACCTCCCTGAGCTGCGTTCCTGGGGGCGAGGCGAGACTGTGAGACCCCCTGCCTCAGCCTTTCTGCCTCCCTCCTCTGCAGAGTATGTGAACTTGCGAGAGCCCTCGATGGACATGAAGTCAGTGACTGACCGGGCGGCTCAGACCCTGCTGTGGACTGAGCTCATCCGAGGTGGGCCTTTCGCGGAGGGCCAGATGGGCTGGGGTGGGGCGCCGATGGTCGGGGGTGCGGGGCCCTACCCAGCGTGTCCATGCTGCCCACAGGACTGGGCATGACCCTGAGCTACCTGTTCCGGGAGCCAGCCACCATCAACTACCCATTTGAGAAGGGCCCGCTGAGCCCGCGCTTCCGTGGGGAACATGCACTGCGCCGTTACCCATCCGGGGAGGAGCGCTGCATCGCCTGCAAGCTTTGCGAGGCTGTCTGCCCTGCCCAGGTGAGCCCCTGACCCCAACTGACCGCCAGCTGGCCCCTGCCACTGGGAGAGGGGAGCGGGGCAGCTTTGGTCCCAAACTCTGGCCCCCCACCCGGTACGTGTCCCCAGGACTCTCCCGTTTCCTCTCTGAGCCACTTCTCCTGTGAGTGGGAACCAGCCGGCCCTGTCACTGGGACCAACTCAGAGTCAGGAGTCAGCTGGGTCAGCCGCTAACTCTGAGCAGGCCATGCGACAGCAGTGGGCCCTGCCCCCGGGGGTCTGCTCAGGGATGCGTCATGCAGGCCTGTGAGCCACAGAGTGGCACCTGAGGGTCTCCCTTTTCCGCCATACCCAGCGGCAGTTTCAGGAGCTCTGCCTGTGTGCGCCCATCAGAGGGCCAGTCCCAAGGACACACATGCCCCATCCGAGGCCCTCACTGTCGCTGGTGACTGCTCCCTTGAACCCGATTTTGGTTCTGTGGGGGGGCCCCTCGCGGGCCGCCCGAGGTCAGAGCCTGTTCGTGTAGAAACAGAAAGACACAGCCATGTTGGGCCCGGTGGGAGCCCCAGCAGCGGCCCCTCCCAGTGGCTGCTCCAGGGCCAAGTCTTCATGACTCGGGATGGCTCCTTACTGGGTCGTAGCTGGTCCCTGGACTGCTCCCCAGGCCCCAGGCTGGGGCCTTGATGTCTCCAGCCAGCCTGCACCCTGGAGCACACAGGAGCGCCCCAAAGCAGTAACAGCAGTGGCGGCCCCCGGGGTTGGGGGCTGCGCACGGACCAGGACCTGCTGGGCTAACGACTTGCCTTCCGACAGCTCTGGGGAGTAGAGATTGTTATCCCCACCTTTGCAGATGAGGAAACTGGGGCTCAAAGAGATGAGGCTCCCAGCCAAACATCCTACTGTGCGTGGCGAGCATGTGGGGGCCTTTGCCACGGTGCTCTGAAGGTCCTCCCAGCTGTGGGAGCCTGCAGGCCGCCCATTTCCCCAGCTGGCACAAGGCTGTACCTGGGAACTGAGATTGAGGGCTGGCCTTCGAGTCTGCGCTCGGCCCTCACTTGCTGTGTGGCCGTAGGAAGCGCCTCGACCTTCTGAGCCCCTGTTTTCTCACCCATCAAATGGGGGAAACTGACGTAAGCGGGAGGGTTGTCCAGCATGCGAGCAGCAGTAACAGAGCTTCTACTACAGGCCCTGACCCCTCAGGGCTCCAGGTGCTGTGGCAGACAAAGCAGGTGACCTCCAACAAGCGAACAAGGAAAATGTCGACTAGGGAAAAGGCTAAGAAGCTGACGAGACAAGTCTGCTGGGTGGCCTGTTGGTAGAGGAGTCAGGAGCTGGGCTGAAAGTGGTGACAGAGGGTGTCTGCTCTGTGTCCCCCAGGGGACGAGCCTCCAGAAGGGGGTGGGAGTGTGTAGGCTCGGGGGCGGGGCGAGCAGCTTGTGCTGACCTGGCCCCGCCCCACTGCAGGCCATCACCATCGAGGCAGAGCCGCGGGCCGATGGCAGCCGCCGGACCACGCGCTACGACATCGACATGACCAAGTGCATCTACTGCGGCTTCTGCCAGGAGGCCTGCCCCGTGGATGCCATTGTCGAGGTGAGTGCACCCTGGGCGCGGGGGTGGGCAGAGGCTCCTGGGAGGGGCCTGACGCTGCCGTGCCGGCCCCCCACCCGCAGGGCCCCAACTTTGAGTTCTCCACGGAGACGCACGAGGAGCTGCTGTACAACAAGGAGAAGCTGCTGAACAATGGGGACAAGTGGGAGGCCGAGATCGCCGCCAACATCCAGGCCGACTACCTGTACCGGTGACGCCAGCTGGCCCGCAACCCCTCAGCCCAATAAAGCAGCTCTGACCTCCCCGCCGCCTCTGTTGTGAATCTGCCATCCAAGCCGGGTGGCCACCGCCTGGCCATGGCCTGTGCCTTCCTCCAGGTCCCTCAATCGCTGAGCTGGCCCCACCTCCCCGTGGGACCCGTCAGGCCTCCTTGGGGCCGGGCTGCGGCCCTCAGCAGGCCGGTGGCCAGCTCCGGTTTGTGTTCCCACGATCCTGGGTGACCATGGGCTGGGTCCTGGCCTGCCTTCGCCCGAGAGCTACCCACAACTAAGATGCCAGGGACACAGAACCTCTCAAGGCCTCAGGCGGAAGTTCAGCGATGGAGACTCAGAAGGGCCAGGTCATCCTTGAAGATTGGGGGGTGTTCTGGGGATGACAGTCATGAGACAGTGACACAGGCCCTGCTGCCCCTGAGCTGGCCTGGCCTTGCCTCCAGCCACATCCCCTTTTCTCCCCAGGTTCCCCAGACCAGGCTGCTGGGCTTGGCTTCTGGAGACTTCCTGCTCTGTGATTGCAGCAAAGCGGGTGTGTGGTTCCTTCTGGGGCCACGCCCATGCCCAGTGCAGTGGAATAGCCAAAGCGGCCTCCTGGGAGTCCCTGCCGAGGGTTTCAGTGTGTTCTCAGCAGCAGGGGGACTGGCTCAGAGGGGCGAAGTGACTGACTCAGGGTCGCCGAGCCTACATCCAGTGAAAAAACGAACTGGTCCGAGAGCTCTTACTCCTCCAACATTTTCAAACGTACTTTTTACAAAACACTCGTTTTCCAAGATGCTTCTTGGGAAAGAAGTGGGGAGTGTGTTCTGTGGACCAGTACGTGTGGCACGTTCTCTGCCGGGACAGTCGGGGCCCTGATACGGCCTGCAGCGGAGAGACCCCGCCTTTCCCCGGCTCATTCCCCGGTAGCCCCTCTTCCTGGGTCACTGCTGACACCGGGTCAGGCTGGACCCACCGCTAGCCAAGGTTTTGGGGGTGACGGCCCAGGGCACAGAAGCAAGAAGTGTGTGCAGGACCCAGCGGGAAGCCCTGGTGGTGGGGGCACCATGAAAGCAGGGGGTGGCGAGAGGCTCCAAAATCCCAAGGCACTTCCAACCCCTTTTCCCAGACAACAGCCTAGGCGAGTGGACGTAAAAAGAAGACAAACAGGCCAGGCTGCATCCAGCCCCCGCAGCGGCCCTGTCCCTCACGAGGTCCGACCCTTCAGCGCTGCAGCTCAACTCTGTCTCCCCCACGTGGAGCGCCGCTGACCTGAGACCCCTGCCTCCCCACGCGCTGGTGCTCAGTTTGGTTGCGTTGAAGTTCCCCCCGGAAACAGACCTAGGACATTCCAGAACACACCCCCCCACTTTTCCTGGATGCTGACCTTGGCCATGACTCGGTTTCCAGCCCCCATTCTGGGGTTCCATTTGCTCACCTCCCCCACCCCTCAGAGGCCTTGGCAGTGTGGGGTTCAAGGAGCACCAGGGCTGAGGGGCCCCCGGTCCCTCTGGTCCTCAGTGGGTACGGTCCTGGCTTGTCGAACGTGCAAGCAGCTGGCGCCGTGAGCCCCAGTTCAGGGGCTGGGACACGACCCAGCCCCTGGAGCTAAATCAGAGCAAGGACCCTGGGAGTGAGAGCCAGTGGAGTGACAGCTAAGCGTGTAGTATTGCCCAGCAGCTACGGGGTGCGGGGCCCCGAGAGAAACAGCACAACCCTGGCCTGGCCCTCCGTGTCCTGCTGCCATTGGAGAAGAGGCCCAGAGAGGGACAGCCACCCACCCAAGGGCACAGAGCCCCTGCCAGGCCCCTATCCTGGGTGGTCAGAGGAAGGAAGGTGAAAGGACGCGCTGTGGCTGCGGCCTCACGTAAGGAGGACGGAGTCTGGAATGGGGGGAGCGTGCCGGGTTGGCACTCTACGCAGATTCTGGACTTCAGGCCTGTGTGTGTTGGGGTCCCATCAGCCATAGGCCCACCGAGCCGTCCAGGTAGTGGGAGGTCCCATTCTCTAGCCCCCGAGCCGGGCCTGGGCTAGACGCCCCCCCAGCCTGACCGGCCGCATAGACGTGCCCGGTTGGCGCTGGTCAGTGGCTCCCCTCTTGTCTCGGGGCCTCCATGCTCCAAGCCCCGAATACGAGGCTGGAAGCGAAGCCCGCGCACGGTCAAAGCCCAGGCGCTCGGGGCGGGGAGTGGGCGGGGCCTCGCTGGCCCCGCCCTTCCCGGTTCCGCGGGCCGGGAAGAGGGAGCAGTGCGGCGGTCTCCCAAGGCGGAGATCACACTGCCCGGAGCACAGAGCGAGCCAAGCGCTGCGTGCGGCCGATCTCGGGGTGAGTGCCGGCGCCGGGTGTGAGGCCTTGCTGAGGCCCCAGGGGCGACTGGGAGGAGGAAGAGGAGGATCAGTGTTAGCAGCTGCCAGCAACTGCCAAGCCCAACTCTGCTGGGCCTGGTGGTGCTCAGAGCTTTTCTAGACTGCATCTCCCTCGGAGGAAGCGACCCCATTCTACAGAGGAGCAAACCGAGACCCAGCCAACGCGGAAGCAGCAGGGCTGGAGGCAGCTCTAGCAAGTGGGCTCATCCTGACCCTAGAGCCCACCATTCTGAAGTGGAGGAGGGCTGACCTCCTCCAGCCCAGCTCGTCACCGGGCATCAGGGGCTCAGAGGGGAGAGTTGGTGCCCTTCTGGGAGTCGGCTTAGCCTCCAGCCTCCCGAGGGACCAGGAAGAGAGGAGGGGCGCAGAGTGAGGTGTGGGCTGGACCCTGAAGGCCACAGGACAGAGGCACCTTCTAAATTTGTCCCTTAAACAGGACTGGGGTGGCCCCTGGTTCAGGCAGGGACTGGGGACCATGACAGCTATAGGCTGTGGGCCAGGGGAGGGGTCTGGCCAGGACCCTCCATACCCGCGCCGATCATAGCTTGTGCTGCCCAGGGAAGTGCTCCAGCCCGAGGACCCTGTGAGTCAGGACCACCAGGCCGTATCTGCCACAGCTGCTGCCCAGGGCCGACACACCCCATGGGCCCCCAGACCTGGCTTCCTACCGCCCCCGATTTGGCTGGCCCAACTCTTTGCGGTGCCTGGGGCAGAGAACAGCCCTCCCCTGAGCACATACTTGGCTCTGGGACTTCCAAACATTCGGCCCAGGCCTGGGTCCTGCCTGACTCGGCCACCTCCTGGCCACCTGATCTTCGCCCTTGCCTCTCCAGATCTCATTGACTGGTCCATAAACAGGCTGCAGTGCCCTGCCTCTTCGGCGGCGCTCTTAGGTTTGGACGAGGCAGCATTGGTGCAGGGATTACCCGGGGGCTGAGATTACTTTCAACATCTTCCCATCCAAACCCTGTCTCTGCTGGAGGTGCCCAAGCCCCGTTTACCCAAAGAGGAAGTGGAGGCTCAGAGAGGGCAAGAGATTTCCCCAAGGTCCCACAGCCAATCCCAGCTCCGACCGGACGCCTAGCTCTGGCCCCTGACTTTCCAGGAGTGGGAATCCAGCCCCTCCTACACACCCTTCCCTGTCCAGGGCCCAGGGCTCCTACAGCCTTGGCTGCCTCCCGGGCATCCTCTCCTGTCCCGGCAGGGACAGGGCTGCATTCCCTATTTAGACTTAAGTAAACCAGGCCCCAGGGGAGGAAGTGACCAGCTGGCCAAACCGCAGGCCAGGCGCTCTGGTGCCAAACCTTCACCCTGGGCGGGGAGGCCCTAACCCATGCCTTTCCCCTCCTCCTCCTCGCCCCCAGCTTGAGAGCCAAGGAAACTGAGTCCCGTGGAGGGACAGTGGCTGGCCCTCGGTCTAACGGCAGTGGCCACAGAGGCCTGCTTGTGGGCGGGGACATGTGCAGGGGCTGCTGGATGCCACCACGGCCTCCCTGTTGGCATTTAAGCAAGGCCCTGATAGGCCCTTCCGGCCCATTTCAAGTTTCTGCAGTTTCACTTTCAGTGGTTTCGACACCTGGCAGGCTGCTCCCACCCATGCCCACAGCCACCAGGCAGCCCGGGCCGCAGGGAAGGTCCCCCGTTGGTCAGGCCCTCTCTGTCCTCACGGAGCCCCTGGGAGCCCGGGGGAGGCGCCCACCCCCTCGACACACACAGACACGGCAGGGAGGAGGGCTCCAGCTGCCTATGGGGGCGGGCCTGACCTCGGCCTGGGTGTCAGTTGTCACAGATGCTCCCTGGGGTAGAAAAACAAGGACTAGTGACCAGTGAGGGCTGTGGCAGCCAGGAGGCCGCTGTTGGAGGCGACCCTTGGCCTGGGCCCCAAGGATGAGTAGGACCCAGGGTACGGGCAGGTCACAGAGGAGGGACAGTGGGAGCAGAGGCCGCGTATGAGAAGAGCCAGTGTCACCAGGAGCCACCAGGGGTGGAAGGGACAGCTGGGCAAGAGCTTGAAGTTGGGCTGTGGGTCAGGATGTGGGGTTAGCCGGGCCAGGCTCCTTACTTCCTGTGTGATTTCGGCACCCCATCGAGCCTTCCTGGGCCTCAGTTTCCCCATCTGTCAGACGGGGGTGGTAGCCAGACCTTCTAGGATCATGTAAGCTGAAGTGTACAGAATTCCTACCTGTGTCCTGTCCCTGACTGAGTCCGCCGCTGCCGGCCGCCCCACAGGACCATGGGCTCCATGTTCCGGAGCGAGGAGGTGTCGCTGGTCCAGCTCTTCCTGCCCACGGCGGCTGCCTACACCTGCGTGAGCCAGCTGGGCGAGCTAGGCCTCGTGGAGTTCAGAGACGTGAGTGGGCTGGGAAGGCGCGGGAGGGCACCCCGTCCTTCAGGGTCCTTGCTGGAGGACCCCCCCTACCATAGCAGCCCCGGGCCCTGCTTGAGTCCCGCAGCCTCTGCCATAGATGCTCCGCCCTTAAGAAGGCAGTTTCTTCCCCCGAGGCCACACTGCCCCAGCCTGGGTTCAGCCGGGCTTTCTGGGCCCCGCCCCAGCCTCCTTGGGGTCTGGTATGTCTCCGGCCGGGCACCTGGAGGCTCACAGTGAGTGCAGCACCTTTTGCGGGGAGGCAGCTGTAGCCTGAGGAGAGTCAGGCCTGAGCCTGGGGGTAGGGACTCCCTGGCCCTG